TGATAGGCTTCATTTCGCAAAACACTGATGGTTTGCTTATCGCAGTTCTATATATGTTACACTCGATGTCGCAAATAAGATACGTTTTATTTACTTAAACAATGAGCTTAGGAATCACCTAGCAATGATAACATCAGGGTGGATGCTTCATATTGAAGAGCGGACTTCAGCGATACGACGTGCAGCAAAGTTCCTTGACCTGGCATCCTCGCGACCCTTTCAGCGCCACGAGTGAACCTTGCCGAAAACACCGAGTTTAGTGGGGAGGTGCAGTGCATTTCGAAGTTTCAGTAAATACCGCTTACAATCGATCCTTCCGAACTGGAAGTTACGAATGACGCGTTGTTTTTTTCTTCCACGCAACGATAGTCGCAGAAAAAAAAATTGAGAAACACGAAAGGTCTACTTACTCAACTCGCAGCCAGAAAAAGGGGCCACGTGATTTGGACACACATATATGCCGCCAATCTTCATCAAATTTCCGCCCTAGCATTGGAAAAACAGAGGGCGGTGTTACGATGAACCCTAAAAATGTGCTGAGTTCCACACATCGTTAGGGTTCAGCTATTCCCCTTATTGCGTCCATTGAACTCGAGGCACTACACGAATGCTTGTCGAGACATTGTCATGCGAACAAATCAAGTGCTCACGCAGTGCTTTTCTCCAATCTATGGGCCACATTCAACTATTCGGAAACCCGCTATGGCTGACATTAAACGGACCCCGTGTTCCGTCATCAAGTTTAGCGTAGGAGAGGCTGAAAACAAATCATGAGCCATTCCACTCTGCGAAGATGGATGACCAGCGAAGCTCTTTAGCACACGATGCAGACCCGAACCAAGGAGCAGGATAAAACTAGACGAAAGGGCCGCCACCCCGGGAGAAAGGAAGGAAAGGGAACTAGGCACGCAAGCGCTTGAAACGAGGACGAATAGAGGGCGGTGCGAGCGTAGACATGGCCGACGCGGGTCGCACAGCGGGAAATGTTTGAGGACCCTTTCTTCTCTACCTGAGAGTCTACTGATCTCCAAAATGGTGCGCATTGATTACTAATATACCGAACAGACCTATTGCTACATTATCCAAGCATCAAGGAGAATGCAGGGAATGGTGTTCCACGTACGCGCCGCACCTGCGGGCGCCTGCAGCCATAAAGGCCGGTTCAGACACTTGCGTTTGAGTGCGTTTGACTGCGTTGCGTCGAGTACGGAAAGCGAGTCACCGGCACATCTGTGCTTCGTATGAAGCGTGCAATCCAATCTAAGGATACATCTTGGCACGCGATATAAGCAGCAGGGATGTCCTGGTTTCTCGCTGCCGCAACGCAGTCAGACGCAGTCAAACGCAACTGTCTGAACCAGGCTTCACTGTTCTAAAGCAAAAGCCTAAAACAAATGGCACCCGGCACACACTCCTTGTGTGTTTCGGTTCCACTGCGACACGCCGCTGCGGGGCGCCAGTCACGTGACTTTACTCTCATCCCTTCTCAGCCGCTCTACCTTTTGCATTTCGGCGGCCGGTTCTCGTGGCGATCTGGCAAGGCTTTGTCAGTATAAAATAGGCTATGTCTAAACAAAATGGCCTAAACAAAATGGCATCTTGCACGCGCTTTCGTGAACGCTTTATTTTGGTCATTTTCTTCGAATCTTATATGGGGAAGGCGCGCTCGTGCAGCGCCAGCGTCTGCAGTAGTAACTGTTGCAAAGCGAAAGCCTAAAACAAATGACGCCTTGAACGCGCGTTAGTCAACGCTTTATTTTGGTTCTTTATTTCGAATCTTTTATACGCAGAAGGCATGCGGGTGCGGAAGGTGCGAGCGTAGAGTTTCTAGTCACTGCCATAGCCTCCTATATACTGACAAAGCCTGGTAGATCGACAAGACAAGCGGCCGTCGAAATGGAAAAGGGGGAGCGGCAGACACCGGATGAGAGGGGAGCCACGTGACTAGCTCCCCGCTGCGGCAATACGCCGAAACACAACACTCCCGAGGGAGCAAGTGTGTTTCGGGTCCTCACCGCTGCAAAAGCTGAGCGCTGACTTCCAGGTTCCCCAAGAAATGGCTCTTTAAAGGGACAATGCAGGCAATTTCGGAGATCTTTTTGGCGATTGAACTGGGTTTCATGCACGTCTCAGTCCACGTTGCCCAAATTTCAGCCAAAACCGGCGCTTGTGTGCCGCGCAAATCAATGAAACAGTCGCGGTAATAATCGTACCGGCATCGACTGGGGCGACGCCCCGAGAGTTGCGGGAGAAGCCGGGAGAAGCGGAGCTCACGTGACCGATGCGGGGCCAAGAAGCGCGACGTCACAAGAGACGCGTCAGCGATTGGTCGAAACAAGAAACGCGCCCTCAGTCACGTTTTGGTTCGCGATTTTTGGAAATACTGTTCTAATTTGCGCTTGAATGACCATCGAAAGTATAAATCGGACCGGAAATAATTACTAAACCGTAAATAAAGCAGCATCATTGTTTTTTTGTTTTTTTTTGCTACGCTGGACGCGAAACCGGCAGCGACCAACTATGGGCAAACAAAATAAAATTAAAAAAGAACACGGTACTCGAAAGATTTTGCAAAATGGTAGCTGTAGATGGCTGTTCTAACGGTCCACTGAAGACCAGTATTCGTCCGGGCGACGCTAGTTTTCACGTGTGGGTTTCTGTTCGTGTTCTTTGACTACGAAAAGAGGACGTCCGCGGAGGAACCGGATCCCGGAACGGCGGGATCGCTGCCGCTTTCCCTTCGGCATCTCCCCCGCGTCCGTCCTTCGGCTTCCGGGCCGCTCGTTGCCGGCTGGGCGGTCTCCGTCGGGTGATGGCAGAGGCCGCCACACACGTACTCCCGTTCCGTTGGTGTTCGGTCACTCAACGGAAGCTCGAACTCGCTGGCGAGAGCGGCATTGCCGTCCATGTTGACAGATTCGGCGAAAGGACCGCGCCACCGCGCTGCTATAACCCACCGCGGTAACCAGAGTCTCGATCTCCTAAATACTACCAATACCGACTATTCACACTTGACGTCACTCCTACGTCACCTCCGTTTTCGGAGGCCCAGAAACGAGAATGGAGATCGTTCAGCTTTGGTTTCTTTACTGCTTTCGTAGGGACATAAATACGCGTCACAATTGTCTACAAAAAATTGGACAGCATGCTATGTTCCCAAGAAGCATTAAAACACCATTTAAAAAAATTAAATAAAATCTTTTTCATTGTCCCTTTAATGTTCTGTGACACCAGATCCTCGCGGTCCAATTCTACAACCTGGCGCTCTTTGCCTCTGTCGTCGAACTGTCAGGCATTGTGAGTATAGAGGAGGCTGTGCCACTGCACACAAAAAATCCAGGGAACCCTAGCCATAAACAGCTTCGTTGTAAAAACTATTTCCCACTTTTACTCGGAATTACACCGTCACAAAGACGCCTCGTGGTCAGTGGCGTTGCATGCGAGTATGCTGGCGCCCTATAGTGTCAGTAAGCTTGCTTGTAGTGACAAACTCTGCACCCCAATATCGTCGGGCCGTAACTCGGAGTACGTGGAGTGAAAGCTCGCGCTGAAGAACCCAAGGATCCCGAGTGCAATCCATGCGACCTAAAAGACAAGACATGCGTCATCACCCCTCAAGCGTCATCACTCTGTGGTAGAGTGCCTTCATACACACGCACGCGTGGATGCACGCATCGCCCGCTAGCGGGCGTTAGCACCACTCTTAGAGCGCCTTGTGGCTTCTCTCACCAAGCATGAAGCCCGCACGGTGACGCCACAAAGGAACGCGTCTAGCGCTTTGCGGCCTCTTTCGTCAACCTTGAGCCTATTTTTTCCCGCTCGGGGCGGGTCAGATATCCACCAATAGTTACGTCATCCGCAGGTCTTGTCTGTGATCACATAAACATTAAAGTGCACACGCTACGGTTATTGTACGTTGCGTCCGCCCGTGCTGATCTGAACGAGCATCGTACACACCGGCGTGCGGTCGCGGTATTTCTACGAGTATTGCGTTATGTACGTTAAAGACCCCAAGCTACTTTAGACATACACGCCATTTACAAACGAGTCCGCATTTGCTCACGCAGATGTGACCTGTACGGGTGCGGAGCGACCGCATCCGCGTCAAGTAACTTTTCTGGGCATGCGCCAGGTCGACAGCAGCGCCACCGCAGCCGCCTGACGTTTGAGCCAATGCTGGGGCTCAAGGAACGCAGGTGTGGCGACCCGTGGTGCCCTGTTAGCGCTCCATGGCCCATATGAGTGCGACGCTTACTTATCAGAACGCCGAAGGACAAATGGGGAAGCACGGAGTGTGGACGTGCGAGCCCACGCCCTGCGTTTCTTTTTGAGCCTTCACTGATCGTTGCAGTGGTGGTGCACCGGCAACATTTCTCCTCGACTGCGATGACACCAGAACTGCATAGGGACTGACAAACTTTACGCTCTTTAAAAGTACAACACAACGCAGAAGCGATACAATAAGAAGAGAGGAATTAAGCGTCCTCAGCCGTTGACATTCGACGTCGCTGCTTTCGCTTTGGCGTCCCGAACGTACAAAACAGATATCAACGGTCAACGTACTTGTTGGACGTTTTCAACCATGGCTAAAAGCGGTAAAACGACGAGCACAAAAGAGAAGACAAGCATAAGCTCCCGTGTTTGTCTTAGTTCCTCGCGCTGGTCTTTTTAGCGGCTTGAACTATGATTCAAAACAAATATGAGAGGCGACCTTGCATTGCCTAAACCAACTTACCTGCCGCCGTGGCAATCCCATTATGTGATAGCCGAACAACGGTGGTTACTGCGAAGCCAATGTCAACATCTCTTTCTATTTGCGCGAACAGAGGCCTAGCCTGCCTATGCCCCCCCCCCCCCCCCCCCCCCCCCCCCCCCCCCCCCCGTCGCGTGATGGTGTGTTACTCGATGCTGCTGCGGTCACGTCGCTGAAACAATCGCACCTAAGCGACAGAAAATAAAAAAAAAAAAAAAAAAAAAACGACGTGTTCGTTATTTAACGGCCCATTTTTGTAGCTATCAAAGGACACGGCTAAGGCTGACTCAATCTCTCCGAAAAATGAAGTTCTTGATATTCGCCTATCTGCTGAGCGTTGTCTGGAGTCGGAAACCCGGTGAGTATTCTGAACGTATTTGATTTCTAAATCTAAAGAGCTCGGCTTAAAGTTTGGCAAAATACTTTTCAGAGGCTTTGTTCAGGTTGTGAGCCGTTAGAGGGTGTTTCTGTTTTTATGGATATGCTTTCAAATGAACCGTATTTTACGTTAAGCTAAAAATATTGCGTACATTTTGGTGATACTTCTGAACCTGAAGTTAATTCGGGCAGTTCAGAATAAACCCTATGTACTATAGTTTCGTAATATTCACGTTTAATATTTCATGGTATTATTTGCGAAAATCTTGATAATTATACCGTAAGCAGGCGCGTGCGTTTGATTAACCAGTCAGAAATCATAACTTTATATCAATATATAAACTGTGGACTGCTTTTTTCTGTGTTCCTTTTTAAAGTAATTTTTTGGGGAATATCAAGTTCACCGCCTTTATTTAATTTGGAAAAACTTCGGGCAGATGTGGTAATCCCGCTGATGTCCTGACATAGCTTAGTGGTCATTAGAAGTAAATACATTTCTGAACGTGATAGGTATTGGAAAAATATTATTTCACGCTTTATTTTTGTTTTGTATTGGTTTTCGAGTTGAAATTAAAATTGAACACAAAACATTTGGTTTTTAACTTCTTTTTTTCTTAATTAAGAGAAAAGCTACGCCTTCGCAAGGATTCAAAGTCCTCAACCAGTACTTTGACGATCGCAGAAACAGAATTGAAAAGAAAACAATATCTGAGCCGGATAAACTCAATTGCGAGGTGTTTTTACATAAAACGGCAATGGGAGAGCACGTGTATTAGCGCGCCGTCACAACAACTCTCAGATAAGTAGTTTTTCTTTTCAAGGGAGCACACTGATAGGCAGTAGTAATAGTATGCTGTTGAAAATGAACCTTCAGTTGAGAGTGCGCTTCTTCTCTCCTCCTTGTTGTTCCTGTTTACTCAGCGCTTTTCTTCCAAGCAATGTTCCCAACTATGTCCTATTTATATGTTAATAAAAAAAAAACATTATTTTTAGATGGATGCGGGAGGCCCTCGATCCCACCTTTCATCGAGCCCGAAGACCGCATTTATGGCGGTAGGGTTGCTGTGCCGGGAAGCTGGCCTTGGCAAGCGCAGTTGCAACTTCAAGGACGCTTTCATGTTTGCGGCGGTTCCCTGATCAGCGATCAGCACGTTTTGACTGCTGCACACTGCGTCTGGTGAGGGGACATTGTAGAGTTCTAAAACTATGCGGGGCGCAAGTTCGTCTGCTCCTTTTACAGGGGTTGCGGTGATGTCAGAACGAGAAGCCCTTATTGGCTGATTGAAAAAAAAAAAGAAAAAATAGTGGTTAGAGACCTCAGGGCATCTAGCATTGAGGTCTACCCACTATTCTTTCAATCAAAGCCAATCAGAGCTCCGCTTTGTATTGACGTCACCACAATTCCAGCGCAAGAAGCAGACGACTTGCTCTACGAATAGTCCCCGACAATGGAGGAAACGCTGTGTTTGGCTTATCATGTCTACAGTCCTTGCTTTACGATACTTGTGTCGGTGTCCTTATCAGCTAATTCATAAATCTCATTGCCTACGCATTGACGAAACGTTCTCATGACTCTGCACGCCCCAATGTTTTTTTTTCAAAGCTCTTAGGGATTATTGGGGACTCCAGCGAAATCGACAGCAGCTAGCGGCTATAGTATAAAAAGATGTAGCTGCAGGTTCGCTCACCAGCATTTTTGAGCAAATCAAGGCCGGGTTGCTAAAATGGGCGTCTCAGCTGAGACTGGTTGAAAGAAAGCACTGCCACGGCCTCTCGATTATTCCCCCCCCCCCCCCCCCCCCCCCTGTGAGCGGTCAGCCGTATGCCCCACTCCTCCGGTGAGAGTGATAGTTCTACTATACCCCGCAGCGCCAGCCGTGGCGCACGTTATCGGCGATAGATGAGCAGTCCGGCCGGCCCGGACCGGTGCGGCTATCTAGATTGTTTTTCGTGCAGTGGCAAGTCTCACTTGAAACGAGCCCCAAATTGCATGAATAATATGACAAATCTGTGTAGAATAAAAGCACACGATTCTTTAGACGAGGAGCTCACTGGCTGAAAGAATCAGCTGCAGGTTGCGCGTTAGAACCGCATTCAGCTGGCAGTATGAGCGAATTGTCGTTTTTTTTGTTCCCGTAAGTGTTGCTCCGTTTCTATTACCACTGAATATAAGAGTTATAGTTGGATATAGCTAGGCCGTATAATTTCCAGTTTAAACCGACATTCGAGCAGGCTCGAGCTCTAAGTTTTATTCATCTGCAAAAAAAAAAAAAAAAAACGAATTTTTTTGTGCATACTTTTAGCAATATGATCTTCATTGTTTACGAAGACATCACGAAAGTCATATAGTTCACAAGCGGAGTACCTTTCGGGAAAGAGGCTTCGGCGAAAGCCTCAATATATTCTTTAGAGAGCTTTTTAGGTCACCAGCCGTGTTTGCCAAAAGAGGTCTGAGGAGGTTCCTGAGAAAGGGCTCGCAGAGCTCTTCGCTGTGGTAGGGGTATCTGCAGTTAGAGAGCCACATCAGCGGGAAGTCCATAAGGTGTGGAAGCACAGCACTCGAATTGACCTTGCAACTCCGCCCTCAACGACGAATCTCCGCCCACTGTAGAGCCCTGTAAACAAATGTGCCGACGAGCTTGCACAGCCAGACAGCTTCAGGTCGCGAATAGCTGAGTACTCCTTAGTTAAGGCTAAACACGAGCTGATATGCTCCGTCACGTGATGCATTTCCCGTAAGTTGCAGCTTGCATTCAGGACACGTCAGCTGCAAAGTTTTGCGGGTTCTACTCATAACCCTTCCTTGCTTTCGCTCAGACATTTCTATTCCTTTGCTAGGCTGAAAGTTTCAGCTAATTACTTTATAATTACAACAATTTCTACAAAAAGAAATATGGTCACCTTTTTTTCGCAAATGAAGGCCAAGTGGTTAGCCAAATAAGTCAGCGGTGCGAACTCAAGTTCGGAAGGGACTTCATTGTACTTCATCAGGTGCTGAATTTTCTGAAGCACACCAAGAGCTTCCTCCGGAAATGCAGTACTTCCTGTTTCACGAGTGGAGCTAGCAGATTTCATCGCCGTGTGGCACTCAGAACTAGATGGCGCACTTCCACTTCTGGCAGCCCCAAAAAATGCCAACACAAACCACACCCGCGAGCAGAGGGTGACACTACGATACTTTCTCCGCGCAAAGCGGTGCAAAGGTTGGGGGCAAGCGAGTTTTGCGGCCTTCTGCAACCCCAGCAGCGCCTCGGTATCGGCGAAGGCAATGACGGGCAGATATTTTATCTGGGTCGCGTAGCAAGGGTGCGTTGGGCGCCTTCTCTAGCTTTCAGCTCACAAGACCACCCACTGATGTGCAGCGCCCCCACGGCAGATGGAAGAAGCTCTCCTCTAACGCGCGCCCTTTGGTTTTCAGAAAAAATCGGCAGGCCGCACTAACAGGGGGGATCAAGCGGCCGTGGCACTGCCAAAGCCAACGCACGAGCTAAGCGGGAATCAAACATCGTATTAAGACGGTCGCGCGCCCCAGCCTTTGTATTGCTTTCGTTCATCCGGTCTCAGCTCAGAGGCTGCTCTACCAAGCCAGACTAAAGCCCCTCTATTCTGAGAAAAGTTGCGTCATTCATTGTTGTGGAAATGCTGGTGACGCATGCAGCGCGCCGCTTCTGGGAAGAACGTGGCGTCTGAAATCTAGCTCAGTGCTGCACGTTGGCTGAGGCACGTTGGCATGAGGCACGTGCAACGTGCAGCCCAAAGGCTGCACGTTGCACGTGCCTCATGCATCAACGCACCTTGCGCTACTTTTGGTATTAAGCCGGCCCAGAAATTCGCACCACCTGGCGGTCATTGTTTTCATTTTGCACCACGTGGCGGGCATTGTTTTCATTTGCACTATGCGTATTATTTAGTAATATGTAGAGTGTCCAGTATTAATAATAGTGCTCTAAATCCAGCCGGAACAAACCGCACTTGCACATAGCAATAGATCGCTAACTCAGTGATGAAACTGGCAAGTTTGTTTGTGTTATTTTGCACAAGAGCGAAAGTGCGCGTTAAGATATCGCAAGGTAAAATGCACCAGTAAAATGCCCTCTTGGGGCGCGTTCGAGCTTTCTCTGTAAAGGTGTTGATTTCGGCGGCTCCGTTTACAACGCTGGGTTCATTGTGAAAACCCTACATATGCTCGCATCGGCTCTCTTGTTTTTCAATTAGGGGAACGCGGCCGGCAAACTTGAAGATTCACCTCGGTTCACACCGGCGCCAAAGACGAGAACCAGCGGAGCTTGTTGTAGGCGTCCATGAAATTTGCATCCATCCTGCTGCTCGTACCAGTCTCCAACCGGTAAGAAAACAAAGATGGCGGTAACTTCAATGACAGAACAAACACAATTCCTTTCCCGAAAACACTGTTAGAGCGCTGCTTTAATAGATGGGATTCATTTCTCGGACTAAAAATTCTGATGCGCCTACATTTTCCCGCAATGCACTCGGGAGACCAACTGGCTGCTATCTAGCGGGCAGCTCAGCAATTGACGAGGCTGAATTTACATTCAGACCTAAAAACCTGTCTCCACTTTAGCACTGATCATAGTGAGAGGTCATACTCACTGCCAAAGCGAATACTGCTTTTTAATGAGTTAGCCTTAAAACGCTCTTTCTGCTGAAAACTCGGTAGTGTGTTTCGTTTGTAAGCGCCAGGGAGACAGGGAGATGGAGGGGAGGGTGTGGTTCGTGCGAAACTCCCATTGCTCCGAAGCGCTGACGTCAGCACATGTCAACCCCTCCCACTCACTCCTGCGCTGTTAAACTGACAGACACCGTATGGTCTTTGTCAAAATGAGCCATTTCGTTTTCGTCAGTCACCCGCGCAGATGCTTCTTAGCCTGACAGGAGGCGGCGCCACGCAACACCTTCTACACTGTTAGCAAGTCCCGTGTATTTGGCGAATATTTGGGGTGAAAAACACGCTATTTACACAAATTACCATAAATTTACACGATGAGTAACGGATAATTCGTTCAGAAATCATGCGAGGTTGTAAAAAACGTGTTTTGGTTCGGTCATACACGCATAACCGTGTAGCCGACCTCGATAACACGCATCGCCCCCGGCGACGACCGCGGCATTGCCGGCTATCGAAGCACCGGAATGCTTGGGGACACACTTAGAAAGGACCGTCGAGACAAATGCCGCGGAAACAAACATGTCTCGGAGACAGATATGCGCCAAAAGCAATTGCGCCATGTTGCAGGACGTTGACGAAACCCGCGCTTACCGTGCTCGCCGCCATCTTCTGGTCGATGGCAATGCAGCTTCCCTCATGTCGCCCATGTTTGTATTTAGTTTAGGGGTCCTGATAACAGTTTCTTAGACACCACAAATAAAGTTATGGGTCTAATTATTCGTTCCAAACAGTTAAAAATGGATATAAAAAGCGTGTCCTCGATGTGAACACGTGACATTGCAGTTGGTTTCGTTTTTGCTTCAACCTTCAACTGCAAGCGATCTGGCCACGGCGCAAGCGCAACGCCGATGTACGCTGGAAGCAAGCGCCGGTTGGCTTTCGTTGTTTTTGTTTGACCGGAGAAAATCTGGCAAGTACTCATGGCGCCGCTACTGTTTTGGTTTGACGGGACGCGAGAAGCTTCGCATAGAGCTTCGGAGTTTGCGAGCACATAGTGAAGACGTGACCGGAGAAGTGCCCCTGTGATGTTCCTGGAAGACGGAAAGTAGCATTCGTAATCGTCGTGTGTGCTTTGAAAGCGAAGGGAGTCACAGGGTCCACGAGTTCGCAACCACAAGCCAAGGTTCACGACAGCGCGGCGTTGACTTCGGCGATCTCGTTCTCTTTGGTGAAACCCGGCGATGCTAAAAAGAGCTGAAACATTCGTCGTGTGTGGTGCGGTGCTTTGTATTCCGGGTCTGTTTGAACCACGCTTTTAACACGGAGCGCAAATTGTTTGTTGCGTGGTGGAGGTTCAACGGGTACAGTCCTGTCGTCGTCAGCTGATCCGGTCCAGCTGGTCCGGGAGGACACAGCGAGCGTTTTTAAAAGTAAATCTTCCTTCGTTCCGTTTCAAACTGTGAAGATATCCCGACACATACCGTGAGTAAGAAGCAGCGGGCGTTTTCAACAAAACTACGTTGTTTTAATTGAATAATGGACTCCGGATTGTTGTCTTAAATCTGCCGTTTTTTATGCTTTGTGTTGGACTGCGTTAGCATAGCGACGCACACCGCTCGAGTAGATGATTCGGTCCTGCAACGAGTTTGTTGCGCCAATCATGCGGCGTGAATAAATTAGGGCAAGGTTTCGTACCTGCCCACAGATGCATGTACTGAGACCATTTTTTTATGTTGTGAACGTAGTGCTCTTTCTTTATTTGGAAGACGCGTTGGTACATTTATTATGGTACAATCACTTGAGAGTTGAGAAATTGGAGAGCGAGCAAGCTTTCTCAACTTTGTCTCTTTCTCTCTGGCACTGCCCTGTTTCAGTTTCAGTAGGCATATCTACTAGCAGGTACAAACTGCTCTAAAGCAGGTAAAAAACGGAAAGCTTAGGACGGTGCGGACTCCGTGTTTCACGCTTTTCGCAAGGTGACAGGGTAAATGCTTTTGTGAGATATGCGGAATATGCAAGCGATTTTGTTATGCCCGTCGTTTGCGTCTCTCCAGCAAAACGAATAAGATGATCTACTACAAAGGCGCAATCACAAGCCAAAAGATTTAAGATAGCAGTCGTTTGCTTCGGTGATCCGTGTAGCTGTATTTTACCCTGCTCTCTGCAACACCGTGTCATGACGAAGAGCTGGAATGGTCACGGTTTGTGCCGGCCTCCCGGTTGACAGAAACCCGCGTCGCCCGCATCGGCACAGAGTGCGCTTGGGCTGTTGATGCTCAAGCCTTTCATCCGCGGCTTGTCGCCAGCTCATCCTGCTGCTCAACGGTGAGGAAGCGGCGAGAGTAACCTCGGAAGTGAATGTAAATCCTCGTTCATTCAGTTATCCGGTGTCAAAGTGTGGAAGATGTCCAACGTGTACTGAGGGCGGGAACTACGAGCGTTTTGCCTTGCTTTTATAACCGAAACCAGATCAACGAGATAACTGCCTTGCGTACTCTAAAATGACGGAAGCAATAAGTTTCAACAGGTCGAGTACGTCACCGGGGATGTAGGCGAGACGGTGCACACTGTTTAAACGCTTGCAGTATCCACGAGTGGTACCAGGAAAGCGACGTCAACAGAGAAGGAGCTCGCGATTCAGCATAATGCACTGCTACGTGCCCGTGTATCTTCAAAGTTCGGGGTGGTGGCAGTATAAAAAAAAGACGCATCAGCGCCCCACACCAGTGTTCACGAATAACACCGGTCACAAACCCCCAAGCCCCACCGCTCTTCTCGACACCGACACGGCATACGACAACAAACTGCATCAAAACGCCCCAAAAGTGAAGGCGTCTGCTCCCGTACTGCAGCTGCTGCAACTAGCGGAAGTGAAGTGTTGGGCGGATGTCCGTATGTCCTTCACAAAAATATATAAAAAATGCTTTGCGCAAGGATCATTTTCATTTATTATTGTATACGTAATGACAAAATCCCAATAATTTGTTTTTCTATCTGATTCAAGCTAGTCGGACTGCTCATAACACTGGTCAAGCAAGAAAATAACAAAAATTTGAACTTTTTCATGACCGGTTTAAGATTTATTGTTAACATATTGTTATTTATTGCAACGGACTAACATTATAGATTTTGCCTCCATACTTTTTAAATGCAAACAGTTCTAACACACGGCTGTCCATTGCGCCGTGTTTTGTGTATTCTTCTATAAATCTGTAATGGTCAGCGACCAAAGAGCTCACCCGCACATGTCAAGCTTATATGCGCTGCAGGGAGAAATGGTTATCGAGTAGGAAGTGTCGCGCGTAGTGTCGGTTGTTGTGTTTGTGTACCTGTCGGTGCTGTGTAGCTGTGTGCTGTGTTGCCTGCGTTGTATGTAGGGTTGCTGTGTAGTCGTGGTCGTTCGCAGAGTTAACAGACTCGTCTTTTTTCTTAAAAACAGGCTGCTAGAAATCTCGATAGGTGGCGCAAGTTACCGCCCGATTCTAAATAGTCTGCTCAAGTTATTTATCCATGTGAATTCGGCATTCGTTTTTTTTTTTTTTTTTTTTGTTTAGCGGCTAGTTGAAGCTACCGACGCCGCCGACCGCCGACAACGCACGTACGTACCTTTGCAAGTAGCTACGTCCGCCGCTTGAAGACTTTACTGTGTATAACAAACATCGAACGAGAACTAACGCGCCCTGTGTGCTTTCAATTCGGTTGAAAGGCGCGCGGCTCGCTGGGCTCGTCTCTCGCCTGTTCTCGGCCGCTGGCCGCCATGTTTCATAAGGAACACGCTCGAAACGGTTTTGCGGAAGGCAGACACGGTGTAGCGTGTTAAGTTTACACAGCACCCCATGTGTAGACGAAAAACACATATGGCCTCGTGTAAAACGAACACGTTTCGACGTGTCCGCTATGGGACAACGGTTTACACGTCTGGGCGTGTTATTTTTGCTAACAGTGTAGGGAAGAAAACTGTAGTGTTAAATAAGACGGCGTGATCAGAGAAGGCCAAGCAGGACACAGATTGGAAACGAGGCTGCGTCAGAGCTCGGGTTCTAGTCGAGCTTGAGCCGAACGTTGACGGAATCGTCGTGTCCAATCTGTGCACAGGGTTGGCCTTCTCTGATGACGGCATTTCATTCAGCACTACGGCTTTGTTATCCTAGAGGTGTTCCCGCGGCGTGGTAGAAGAGGGGGGGGGGTGGGGGGGGGCGTGCTCATGTTTGCTCTGCCGTCGCCGGTTGTTCTTCGCTCTGGGTTTCCGTAGTAGCGGTGTGTGGGCTGCGATCTGTTTGTGTAGTTCAAACGCTGGATGCGGTTCCCTCCACAAGTGATATCGATGCGGTTCCTTCCACGAGTTGTATGAATGTGCTTTGGTTTCAAGGAGAGATATGAATAACCTTAACAAAGGGCGTCGTGTACTCTAACAGGCAGAGTACAGATAGGGGGCCGAAAAAGATTCCAGGAAGATTCATTGGTGGAGTTTTAGGGAATAAATTAGCGTGACCCTTAGGAAACGCCAGACGCGTCCCCGTTTCGGAAACACTAACCGTGAACCCGTAACGAGACCAAAGAAAGGGATCACAAATATAGAGGACGCGAAAGATAAAACCAAAAGAGGGAACTGAAGTGGTCTGTATTAGCGTTTCTCAAAGAGGGACGTGTGGGACGATTCCAAGTGTCATGCTAACGCATTCCCAAAGTATCCGCCAATAGATTCTCTTGTAGCTTTTTTAAGACGTTAGCGTATTTTCAATTTCGTCCTTCACCAACGTTTTCCGTAAATAATAGTGTTGCGCTTTTCCAAGTGCTTTGTGCCAAAGTAGACGGTTCAGATATCTTACAGTGTGCGCTATTCTATTAAACACCTTTCTGATTGAAGTCGATTGTACCATTAGAAGTGCAATATAGGATCCGCGCCGGAATGACGTCACTTGGTCACTCATTAGAACCGCACTGTTTTTGGATATCACCAAAAAATGAGCAACTGTCGATGCCTTTTTTTTTAAGATTCGCATCTAAGAAAATAGAACTCCGCCTAATAAAATAATTCGCGTCGTCACCTTGGAGATTGAGCGAAGCGTTTGTTTAGAGCAACAGCTGTTATTGGTAAGTTCCTCCCCGGGAAAATACGCGGTCGTCCGCCGCCAAAACTACCGTTGACATCACCAGCTACGTCATCAATCACGTGACAGCTTCGAGCTCCCACACCTGAAACTTCAAGGTGCGCCAGACGCCACGGCGGCTGTAGTTGGCGTCACGTTGTAACGGCGACTGTACATTCGAGACTGGCAAATCCCCTCCGCCTCCGGTGCTCCCTTTTAAGGTTGGAGGGGAAACAAAAAAGCGAGGGCGCATTCAACGAGTAAAGAAGCGCACTAGGTTCGGACAGACCTGATTTGCACGCAGTATGGGCGAACATTTTCTCAGAAATAATGCCGCTTGATAAACAGCCGTCGCAGCGGCACAAGCTCCGTGATAGCCTTAAAGCACCCCGATTTTGGTTTTCATGTAGGCAGAGCCTCTCTTTCAGTTATTGATCTTACCAAAAACTAGAGATATGCGAGACGTATAAATTTCAATCACGCAGCCATTGACTTATCCTCTTGTTGAAAAGTAAACACATTTATTTTTCCCCGAAAAACTGGTGGCAACGAATTGTTGGCACTTTCTTAACAGCCACAAACGGCAAACGTTAAAGTCTTCAACTGTTCCATCGTTATAAATTGAATGATAACGTTCTCACCTATTGTACTGTTATTGAAACAAGAAAAAATAAAAAACGAGGTTAATTGCCTACTATGTTTCGCCGTTTTACGCGGTGTTTTTGGCTTTTCCAACTAGTATCATTCGGGAGTTTCAGGGAACCGTTTTTGCACGTCCGATAGTCTACGATTGGTCCTCCGGCACAAACTGGGAATGTGTGGGTCCTCAGCGTTGGCACATGCGCAGTTCGTACTGGAAGGCCCATCGTACCCTATCCTATGCGTAAAAAGGGTTCGCGAAAACTATCTATTAGCTTCGCAGCCATAATGCTCTGCTGGGCATTCGTCACGCCCTGCGTGTCTTCAGCTGCATCTGACTATACGGAGCGCAAGTTCGTCTGCCCCTTGCGCAGGGATTGCGGTGACGTCAGAACGACGAGCTCTGGTTGGCTTTGATTGGAAGGATAGTGGGTAGACCTCGAGACAGCTGGCACTGAAGTCTGCCCAATATCATTTCAATCAGAGCAAATCTGAACTCTGCGTTTAGGCGTCACCGGAACCCATGCGCAAAAGGCAGACAAACTTGCCCTCAGCATAGTGTCACATTATGGGCAGCAATGTTAATTGGCGCCCGTCAGCTACAATCAACAATTATTTGTCTTTTTATCTGGCCAGCCGAGCAGATAACCGACGAAATTTGTGAGTCATCAAATAGACAGTTAGATAAAACGGAAAGTCCCAATATCTCCCACTGATAACTTGGGAACCTCGAGTTTGACTGTTTGCAATTTCGTTTGCTGTTTCGTCGGTAATGTTGGACTGTTTTATTTAAATTAGTTTTGCAAGGAGTACATTTTTTTAATACTGGCAATACTGTGATTGGGGGCAGACAATCTCTGTATGTCTTGTTCTGAGAACGAACTTACAGAAAATGTTGAGATTTCTCAACTGGTTCCACCATTTGCGATACAGCATGGGCATGGCGAAACGTTTGGATTACGTAAGAGGCAATATTTTGTTTGGCCTAGAAGAAAACTCTGTTTCGAACACGGAAGGCTCTGAACGATTTCCCCTTGAAAACAAGTCACGGTGGACGTAGTTCAGTACTATATATTTCTGCGCTCAAATTCGTCCTGCACTTTCGGACAATAGTGTGCCGTAGTAAGCATCAGCCTCGATTCGTGCCAGATGCATGGAGTAGAGACATGACCCAAACAAGCCGCCTTCTTCTCGCAGGGTTTAATGCAGGACATCGCGATCATCAAGTTGAAGAGCAAGGTGAATACGACGACGACTATACAGCCAGTGTGCTTGCCCGGAAACAACGAAGAACTGTCCAAAACATCGAAGGTGTTCGTTCTCGGTTGGGGAGCAACAGAACGTAAGACTACCCAAGAATATCCCGACACTTTCATTTGAAAACAGACACCCTAAGAAATTCCCGTACGTCTGCCCCTGCCACACCCCTCCCTCCTCTCCCTCCATTTACAGAGCACTTCGAGAGCTAATCACTGCGTTTAAAAAAACTAGATATCGCGGGTTTCTTTTTTTTTTTACATTTTAAAGGCAGTGAAATGCAATCTATATATAGGGCCTTAATGCGATCATTCTTTCACACACATAGGGAGGAAGTGACTGAAGGGCACATTAAGAGGCTTTTTGTTAATATTCAAGGTCGTCAGAGTAGCGTAAAAATCATTATTTCTTTTCAAATGTCTGGTAAAGCAGATATATTGTCATGATTGAGAATTGATGAGGCGACGAAAACTGAATCCAACGAAAGGTTTAATGGGCTAACTTGTGCCCAAAACAAAGAGGAAATAGAAGATAAGAATAGAGCGTCACGGGCGTCGATAACGGCGTAACAGCAGAATCGAACGGGGCGAGACTGACTCCAGCTCGTCACGGGGAGCACCTTTTGTAGCGGCGTGGGTTTCTGGAACATTCAGCCTAGAACGTTCGGCGCGTAGGACATTCGTAACTCGATGAGGCGAAAAAGTTCTCGAACTTTCGAGAACGACCAGTAGAAAGAGTAAATAAAAGATCATTCCACTACTTGGAATCGTACGCGTATCTTCCGTGCGACAGTCGAGCGCGATAACCATTGGGCCACGCACGCTCTCGCTCGGCGACGCGCGTTGCATTACTCCCCCTTTATTAAAAGCATCGTCCCGATGTAACTTGACGGGAAATAAATCAGAAAAACAAACCACAATAATGGCAAAGTACGGCGGTCGCGACGCGAAGCCACCTACTCGCCTCTCTCGTAGAATGGAGGGAAGTACGGCGCACGTGTGCTGCGCGTCTCAGCCACTGGGGAGCAGGACCGCGGGCGCGGTGATGCGCTCCGATAAGAAACCGAAATCTAGAATCGCGTCCAAATGGAGCGTTTTTACAGAACGCTGTAAAATGCTTCCCCGGCGTTATATCTTTCCAAAAATAGTTGACTTAGTGGTTTTTGATGATGCTCTACAAGTTTCTAATTGAAATCATATGTCTATTTCCACTAATTAAAAAAGTTAATTAACAAATTTTAATTAATTAGCCGACTTATCGCAAAGATTAGCCACCCATATAATGTCCGCCTGGCCGTATAACCCACCTGCACAAACCGCATTGGCTCAGCTTTCACGTTTTTTTTAAACAAATGAGTAAGAATAAAAAAAAACCTGTATATATATATATATATATATATATATATATATATATATATATATATAGTTGCGCGAGTATTTTGATCACTGTGATTTGAATACCATTTAAACAGAGCTGGGCACTGTTTGAGACTGCTGTTCTTGCTCTCTTTCATCGTTGTTTTTCTCCTAGTCTCAGAGCTATAGTTTATTAAGTTTAATAACAATTCTTTTGAAGAAGTGAGCACCAGTTTTTTGTGCGTCACTTCTTACTTAGTAATTTTGCGACCTGTTAAACCCATATTTGATATAATCTCAGCTTTATTTCTAACACCTAACGATCTGATGGGAACTGGGCATTCAACAAAGAAAAATCGGGATTAATTATTTTCACATTGAATGACATCCACGTTTTTAATATATTTTTTATTGAAGAGGCATAATGCTTCTAAAAACAAGACTAAAAACACACATTTTGGTTTGAATCTTACCTAGGCGTAGGGAGGAATGTGTATGTGTGTGCGTTTATATTTTGTGACTGCAGCTGTTTTCAATAGCGAAGGTTTGAACATACTCTAATTCCTCACGCGCTCCTTATGTGCTCCTTATACGATTACGAATATCCAGCCATATTTAGTTTATTGCAACCAATATTATAGCAACAGAATATTATAGTGTACGAGAGCATAAATATCCATTTTCGCTATAAAAATGTAAAGCAGGTATGAGAAATGCCAAGGGCAACGTCACAAGCAAAACCTTAAAAAAACACTTGTAAAGGCTTTCATGTATTAGGTAATATAAAGTTGCTGCATTTGGGAACTTTATGTAGGCGACGTACAGATACCTAAGGGAGAACAGGATAAGACTACCTGAACGAACCAACAGAACAACAGGTGCCCTTTCAAGATAAGGCGGTCGACTTTTAGTACACGGTATATCACTTGTAATTATTCGTATTTATATAAATTTCAACGCGCATTTTTTTCCTACCTTTTTTCAAACAGGTAGCCACGGTTCAGCAGAACTGAAACAAACTAGGGTGCAGTACTTGTCAAACCGAGATTGCAGAGCAAGAGGAGTAAGAGTAATTTCACAAATATTCTGTGGAGGTCATATCCATGGCAGCGCCTGCAGGGTGAGTATAAGTCTGAGAATGCTTCAAGCCTCTGAGGTCACTGAACTCTGAAAATGTCTTTACATTTCAACCTCCTCGACTCAACAAGTACAAGAAGTTTCTTAGAAAATAATCTCGAAGAAAGTCCGGCTAGATATTACGTTGTAAATGGAGGAATTAAAGCAGTTAATGAGGTGGATCAAAAGAGGTGGCGGTACGACTATTGTTAGTCAACAGCAGTGTTTTAGGCGTTACGAAATAAAGTAACGAAATACGTTACATATTACTTCCAAATAAAAGAAACGGGTTGGCGTCCTACCTTACCTCAAAGTAAATGGAACGAATTACCGTTACCGTTAAGAAGTAATGGAGGTTACTTTTGCGTTATTTTTTTAATTGTTAAATAACACGTTTAACTCCTTTGACGTCACAGGTATGCATAGCCGTAAACGCTAGAAACTCCAATCTCTATATGGCTTGGCGCCTAGAAACGCCAACCAAAATTGAAGTTAATTTTTTTTTTAAGAAAATGTACCGAATAACGCAACTGCGCTACACGTTAAGCAAAATAAGTAAGGCAAGTGCCCTTACTCTTCCAGGGATGTAATGAGTACGCTAGAACGTCATCGAAAAAAGTTACGGTAACCGGTGGCACCGTGACTACTAACGCTTTATCGCCAACACTGGCATAAAGCACTGAGGTAGCAATTTGGGAAGTTGGTGCATTATCAACTAAAAAAGCGCCAAAAAACAGAAAGACGAGGAAATACACCATAGCGCAAAAGCAAATGTTCTTTATTTGTGATACTAATCAATTAAACATATTTAAGCTCACACATAATGTCTTTTAAATTCTGTGTAGCCTCCGCAACAAAAAGAAAGACTCATTCACCGATAGGGAAAGGGACGTATCGCTTATGCATTTTTCGCCCTTTGCCTGGATTTCCTAGGCCTCATTCAGCTCTTTACAAACCCTATACTCCGCGACATCTTTTCTTGGCAATGCAGTGGAAGGTACAGGCCGGCGTCCCCTCTCCCATTTTGAGTGTACGCAGGCTCTCCTCCTCCCCCATTTCCGGGGAGAGGAGGAGAGCCCGCGCACACTCAAAATGGGAGAGGGGACGCGGGCCTGTACCTTCCACTGCATTACCAAGAAAAGTTGTCGCGGAGTATTGCCGAGTATGTATCCAGAAATCTGGTGTCATCAAATGACGGGGCACATCGGCAACAACTGCGGTGACTCGCAAGATGTCCCGATCGAGTAGCTTTCGTCGCCGCGGCGAGATCACGTGCACGATCATTGAAGCACCTTCCCTTATGGCCGATATAAGACGAGCCGCATGATGGAATTTCGTAGACAACACATGTAGTGCACTTTGCGTATTTTGTGCGGTGCCTTGTATCACACAAATATTTCGATACTATTGGTTTGACGATCATACGGCATAGCCGGCCCAGTTTATTGAGAGTAGTAAACACCACAGGCACCTCGTAGCGCGAGGCAACTTTCTTAATATTATGCCTGACTTAGTGCATATACGGGGTTAACACCGGCCTCGCCGTATTTTGTCGCGGGGTTTGACTCTGTAATCCTTTAATCTTCTGTTTTATTAGTCTTTTTGCCACCTCGACCAGAGCACCCTGGGGCAAACCCGCTGCCTTAAGCTTCGCAACCTGTTTATCGAAACTTTCTTGTGCACCATGCCAGTAGGATATTGTAAGGGCCGCCTCTCACATATAGAGGCAATGCTTCTTTTCACAACTTTGCAATGAGGAGTGCTTTACGGGGGAATCGCCCTTTTTGACTTTGGCCGGTATGTCCAGCAAATTTGGTCTTCTGGAGACCTTATCGAAGGTCCAGGAACTGCAACTGTCCTGGACCTTCCAGCAGGAAACTACAACTGGACATGTTCTTTATTGCAAAAACCTGTAAAGTGAGGGGGTTATTCTGGGTTATTCTTACCTAAAGGAGTTCATGACAGTATCACGTTGCCTCCTTCATATGCAAACATTTGGCAGCCCTCTATTTGCAAGAACCGTTTAGGGTGCAAAATTCCGAATCCATAATTGAATATTTGAGAAGGGGTGCGCAGGGAATGCGAAGTGCTTTCTCAGTCGACGTCGAGGACATTTGCTATTGAGTTCCTCACGACCCCCTGTTTTGTGTGTGTAAGAGTGCATTGACAAGGTCGTTATTCTTCCATTCCAGAGCTCGCGTTAGATTAACGCTGACCATTTTCTTGAGCTTCTCACATATTACTTGAAACATATGTTTGTTTTTCTTGACGGGGATATCTTTGCGCAAAAGAGGGGCATTAGTAATCGCTCCTGTGGGGCATCTGTGTAGTGCAACATCTTTCTCAGTGCATGCGGAAGAGCCATCGTTCAGAAACTACGGGTCTTTAGCAGGTTCAAAATATTCAGATTTGTGAATGATTTTCTTATTCCGAGTAATCAGGCTTACGCACTAGAATAGGAAGTAACGGTAGTGTTGGAGGTGTTTAAGACATGTGGCAGTGGCCTAAACTTCACGAATGAGGAGCAAAGAAAGCGACAGTTGCAGTTCCTAAACCTTCGGTTAAGTCTCCGAAAGGACCTCGATTGCTGGACGTACCAGCACCAGGCAAAATAGGCCATTCTCACGTATAGCTATGCTCATTTTAAAGTTGTGAAATGAAACACTGCCTCTATAATTCTAGAGGCGGCCATTAAAAGTTCATGCTGGCGTAGTTAACAAGAAAAGTTTCGATAAGCAGGTTGCGAGGTTAAAAGAGCGGGTTTCCCCCAGGCCACTGTGGCCGAGGTGGCAGAAAGCCCGGTAAAGAAGATTAAAGGATTACAGAGGCAGTTCCGCGACAGAATACGACGAGGCCGGTGTTAATCCCGTATAGACCAACACGCATCCCTGGCGTCACGCAGCTGCGGTGGCGCTGACGACGGCACTGCGCATGCGCAGTAGCTTCAGTTCACTCGAATTCGGTTTCTGCGCATGCGCAGTGCCCACACCTGGTGTGGGTAAACGCGGGCTTGTTTGTAAACAGCGTGTCGGTCTATATGCACACATTCACGCATAATATTAACAAAGTTGTCTTGCGCGACGAGGTGCCTGTTGTGTTTACTACATGCAATAAGCTGGAGAGGCTGTGCCGAAGGATCATCACCCTCAATGTATCGAAAGATATGTGTGATACCAAACACAGCACAAAATACTACGGTGGTGTCTGCGAAATTCCAACATCATGCGGCTCGTCTTATATCGGCCAGGCAGGAAGGTGCTTAGGTGATCGTGCACGTGAACACGCCACTGCGACGAAAGCGACTCCATCGGGACATCTGGCCAAACACTGCGGTCGTTGTCCATGTGCCCTGTCATTTGACGAAACCAGATTTCTGGCTCGATACCCGGATAGGGTTTCTAGCGAGCTGCATGAGGCCTTCGAAATCCAGGCAAAAGGCGGAAAATGCATAAGCGATACCTTCCTTTCCATACCGGTGAACGAGTATTCCTTTTTGTTGCGGGGCTGCATAGAACTCTGGAGAGATTAAAGGGATTGTTAACCGAACATTTCAGTGGCTATATTAAGCGGTGCACTATCTCTCTATGAGTCAGCAGCCGCCGGTGTGCACGAGCACACGCAACAAGATTGACGTGATCATATGCCCCATTCGAGCTTATTAAGCGTGAAGGGGGGAGATTATGACGAAAAATTTCGTTGCGTGTGCTCGCGCACACCAGGGGCTGCTTACTCATAAAAAGATAGTGCGCCGTGTATTTTAGACACTGAAATGTTCAGTTCACCATCCTTTCAAGTGTTGGTTGAAACATATACATATGATTAGTTTTCACAAGTAAAAACCAGTTGCGAGTGCGCTCTGATCTGTCTTTCTCATCGTCCTTTCGTTTTTTGGCACTTTTTTAGGTGCTGTCACATAGTTTTCGACACTCACTAGCCGTGAATTATCATGTCATTATAATTTTTTATTTACAAATCTTGAAAAGCTTCACTAGCGATTTTTTTTTCAACTGTCGAGTATAGTGGAAACGCCTACCCGCTCCTTACACTACTATACAAATCATTTCCTCAGGTACAAAAAAAAAACTAAGAAAAAAAAAGCGTAACTTTGTTTTTGTCAAATTTGCGTCATTATTTTGACTCTGCAAATGTTTGTAGGATTGAAACAGAACAGACGAAGAACGGTCTGTGGAAAATGCTGACGCATCGCAGTAATTTGATTTTAATACTTGCTTTGCTTTTATTGTACCAACGCCATATTAGTTCCAGAACGTTTTTTTTAATCCGGCCAACTAGTTAGAGGGTGTGTGCCAAGTGGTCTATTTTATTAACTAAAATCAGTCATTTCGCTTTCTATACGAATGTTTAAATCATTATCATTGAACCTATTAACACCCTTCTGCAAAGATGTTCGGATTTACACCACAATTTGCAGGTCAAAGGCGCTTCAATCGATATTAGTATGTATTTAAAGTTCCGGTTGCTTAGCAGAGTACATAACTTTATTACTCGGGCCGTTCAAATAAAGTACGCATCGCAGGAAGTCAAAACTCTGCGAGAGTATGACGCTAGGGGTGGGTATAGAACGAGAAATTTTGAGTAGATGACTTTACCTGGATCAAACGACAAATCCCGTAAGACATTAATAAATGTCTCTATGAGCCTATCTGGACCTAAACATAATATTATTACATCGAGAATGGCACTATGGGGGACTTTATTATTTATTTTCGTGAAATCAATGTGTCTGTAATGAAGAGAACAACTCTATTTCTTGCTGCCAACTGTTTTTCACTGATAATGCAGCGTGTCTGGCGAAGTTCGCAAGTAACGTAGCTGCTATTCATGGAATGATATTTCAACCCAGTTCTGCCCGTTCATTTTGTCTGTTTTTCAAAACATGAAACTTCTGGAAAGTTTCAAGCCATTATCGGCTGTCCTTATTTATTCTGGTTCAAACCATCCTTGAACAAATCACGCGAGATTGCAAAATGATTTGCTGCTTCGGAGACTAGTTCCTTCGTCGCAGTTGCACAATGTACGGTTCCTATTTGCTTAAACTTTTAATGACACGTCCGCCTCATGAAACATTTATTTTCAGTTGGACGTTCCTCTATTATTTTTTATCTGTGACAATATAAATATAACATGCGTCCAGAACGTCATTTATTGACTCGAAGATATTAAGTGCAGATCTAAGTCGGCTAGCTCAAAGAGGAATTGCGTCTTTTCCTTGTACATCTTGGTCTCGCTAACTTTCGAGTTTTGTCATTACCTCTAGCGTCACATTCAAACGAACTTGCAGCATTCTGCGACAAGTGGTTTATTTACAAAGGTCGAAACACGTGATTCCTTCTTCTAGGAAACAGCTCCTAAAGCTCTTTACTCGTACAACAAAAGCTTGCACATAAGGGAAAAAAAGCAATTGATTTGTGGCCTTTTTTTTTTGGTTTCAGGGCGACAGTGGTGGACCTGTTGTGCACCAAAACGACGGCGTGTGGTCGCAACACGGCATCGTCAGTGGAGGCCCTCTTGGCTGTGGATGGTCCTACGCACCGCAGCTTTTTGTCAAAGTGTCATCCTACGTTGACAACTTCATTGCACCTTACATAGATCCCAAAACAAGTCGCGAGAAAATTCGGAGTATATGCAGACTAGTTAGTTCGTAAGATGCCGTGAAACACCAAATGGACCGCAATAGTGTACTTTTTTTTTACCTAATGGAAAATTGACCTTTATGCTGATTTATGCAACACAATAGATGGGCGATTGTGTAGCATACGCGCAATGGCCTACGAAATTAACTTTTTGTGTAGGTCACGTGATGTTAACTTTTCTGCTCAACTTAGAAAATAAAATACATTGTACAGTCAACGTGACATAAGGTTACGCGACGTCAGTTTCCCTGCTAAGTTTAGCGGGGAAGCTGAATTCGTGTGTAGGTCACGGGCAGACCTGGGCTTGTTACTTGAAAAATGTAATTGATCACAATTACGAATTACCGAGCCTCAACTGTAATTAAGGCCGAAAAGTAACAAATTACTTTACTCGATACTATACAAATTACTTTCACGTTACTGTTTTGTACACTAATCCAGAAAACGGTAGAAACTATTTTGATTTTTTTTTTTCAAAGATGTTCTGCAACACTAGTTTTCAGTTCTTATACGCTTGTATTATGGTAGTTCTTGTAAAAATAAAGTATTGCATTAAAAGAAAAAGAGTGTAAGCTCACTCCGTTCACTTGCAAGCTGAGAAGGCACCGAAAGCTGCAACCACAACCGGCATCCCGGTAGCTTACGGCCTCCGGAAAATATCCCTGGAATTGTGCAGACAAAGCTAGGTTTGCGCAGGCTCACTAGCAGCGTCTGCCTTCGCTACAAGACTCGGAGCAAAAGAAGCGATCCATGAAAGCTCCCATCGACTCGAGTTTTTCGCCTGTGATTCACAGGAAAAGAAAAACTTGGTTCTAGCGTTATAATTTATGCCGAATGCAGAATGCTGGCGTTCCAGCTTACCATGATGTTTTTCTGTAGATAAGAGTTTGTTGTCCTTGGTGATGACAATGTTTTTTGGCCTATTTTTTTTTTTTTTTTGGCAATCAAAGTATGCACTGACACTATAAGCTTCTGTTCTCCTTAATGCCCTGAATTTTGAACATCTCCTTAAGAGATGGCCATGGAGACGACGGACTCTCCAGGACCAAAAACTGGATCAGTCAAAAAAAAAAAAGTTTCGGTTACGGGCTATCGATCGTTCATTGGTCCTGACGTTTATTCCAATATACGTGAAGGCAAGGAAGGACATAGAGAGCGAGAGAAGCGGTGGCCATCGATCTCACAAAACAACAGAGGATCACACCACTTTTAAGCGTTTTCTCTTTCCCTCTGTCAGCACTCCTCAAATGGCCTAACCCCTCCCCCCTCCCCCCCTTTGTGTAGACGGATGACTGTAAAGTGAGGAGTGGACTCGACCACCATGCCCAGACAAGTAAACCAAAACAAGTATCGTCCGTACCCTCAAAGACCATGCTCCTAGCCTCGCGCCGGGCGCTTTTCATCCGTGCCTCGAGAGCGTGCTAAAATAAAGCAACGCACATTAAAGACAAAGAGAATTCGACACCCTCACGCTACGCTACATCGTCTCTGGCGCGAGCTGTGAACCCGCGAATCGAGGGTGTACGGACCCGCGTTTGATGTCTTCGCAGGTGGCGGGAGACGTCGAAGAATGGGGAAAGGGTGAAACAGTGTATAAAGGGACAATGACAGGGTGTTTATGCTCGCCGAGGTTTTCAGTTGTACGTGACATATCTACCCAGAACACCTAACTGCCCAGGACAGAATTTGCGGCTCGAAACTCGGTTTCTAGCCGCCTCGGTGGCTCCGAGGCGAGAGCGTCGGCCTACGGGTCCCCATGTGGCGGGTTTGAATCCCCGCCGAGGTGCCCACAATCTGAAGGAAGCTAATTGCGGAGGAGGCGCCGTGTAACCGAGCTTGCGGTTGCACGTCAAAAGATCCCCAGACGGTCGAAATTAATCCTCCGCCGGGGCGTGCCAGATGTCCGTCGTTGGTTTGGCACGTCAAACCCCCAAATTTGATTTGATTTGATTTGAAATTCGGTTTCTTTTTGCCCAAAACCGCCGATCGAGAACTGGCCGGATTGAGTCGCGCTCACTTTCTTTCCCGTGGTCACGGGCCGTTTTCTAAGGTTTAGACGCGACCACCAAATTTGATCGAAGCCGAGGGTCATTGAAAGCACACATTCGACAGTAAAAATAGAAAAAAAATATGAAACCCACATTTTGTGGCTTCTAAAAAATTCAAAATACACTCATTAAAAAAAGAAAGAAAAAAGGTTGCACAGACAACCGGAAGCATTCTGTGCGTTCACTGCACAATTTTTAACATGGCGTCATTTTGCGTTTCGTGGAACTCGCGGGTGGCAGCCGACGACGGGTGTGGGACCTCTGCTTCAGAACTGTCCTTCACGGTGTCGGCGAATTTTGTCTTCCTTCGAAAGATAAATTTTGGACCGATCGAATTAGCTGATATTCATCCCGTACGACACGCCCGACCAACAAGCTGATTGCACGAAGACCTCGCCGAGCCGTCGTCCCTTCTCGTGGCTGAAGACATCGCTCGCTCAAACATCAAGCACGAAGCGCGTACCTCAAGTTATACACGCACGCGCACGGTTTCTTTGCTAGATGCGAATGGGGCCGATGCGTGGTGCTGCCCGACTTCAAGCCGGGAGTACAGGTATAGGAGGTACATCCGGGAAATCGGCAGCAAACTTTCCGACATACAGTCGACCGGCTGCATTACTACGAGCGAAAGTATTCCTTCAGTAGCTGCGTCGCGCTGTCATCGCGCGACGGAGCAGAGGCTGGTTACACTGTCTCTCCGCGGGGCGCGGTGCCGCCAGGGCTGAGATGCTCTCCGACAGCGAACCGAAACTTAAAAACCCGTCGATTTTGTGCGGTTTTTCAGAAAGCCGTAAAATGCTTCGCGTGCCTTCTATCGTTCTGCAATTTGTTGATTTAGTGTTTTTCGATGATGCTGGGCAATTTTCTAATTTAAACCATGCCGTCAAACACAATATTAAAAAGACTTAATTACGCGAAAATAATTAACAACTTAATTATTCCGGACTTTAATAATTTTCCTAAATGGGCTCCTGGCCCAGGACCGAAACGCCACAAGCCCTTTTTCGTTGCGATGAGTAGTTTTCGCAGGGGCGATTTGGCCTGCGTTCTCTGAAACACCCTGTATAGTAGCCTGATATATACAAATGTCTATATCCAGAGTAAATGTTTACTATTAAACTAGATGCTGAAATGTGTCTTTGTTTTCGTAAATAACAAGCAAATAACAAGTTACTTTTTTTCATGAGGCACTCCTTTTTTGTGATCAATAATATGTGCGTGCAGTGATGTCAATAGCATACCTGTATAGTTTTAAACATCCTGTCTTGAATGCCTACGAAAAGCTTTTCAGAAATAGAATGAATAAGTAACATTCTTACATTACTGGAATTTTTTTTTTTGTGGCGCACCACATGCTCAGGAGCGACCCTAAATACCCGCACTGCCTCAGGCTATCACAACTAATTGCATACGCGATGGACACATGTCCCGCTGCACAGAATTCCCTCTCTAAAATATTCCCCCATATTTCCCCCCAATCACGCTCCGACAGCTGGAAGGTGTAATCCTCCTCCCCCCTTCCCCCACGCCCTTTGGCTCTTGAGTAACCCTATGGCTATTCCTCACCCCACACATTAAGGACGCGCTCGGGAAAGAGTGGTGGCAAAGTGACGGGCTTTACGTTCGCCGTCTGACTTTTTATGGCTCACATTGACAGATCTGAACGATAACTTCTGTTCTGCAGTGAATTCAGCGCGTTTGCACATTGAAATTGCGGAGTATACTGTCCTGATATTGTCAACAGGCAAAATGCCTCGGGCCAGCATTAGCTCCTCCCGCGTGCGCGGTGCCCGCTCAAGGTCCTACACGTATTGTAGCCGTAAATCATAATGAATATGACCTTATTTGGTTCAGTCGTACTATTAGTCACGAAGCTACACTATCGGAATAAATCACCCTGTAAACGTTACATATTCGTTTTCACCCTGCGTAGTACCCGATGTGTAGATCCCTTTTTAGATCACCCGCACATCCCCTACGAATATATGCAGTCAACTGGCGGATGCGGCTAAAAATAAATCCGTAAGGCGCACTGCTTAGAGAAAATAAGACAGTCGGGTAGAAATTGCTACTTACGCCAAGAAAAGCCTAATTTTCAATGTCAAAGTCAAAGTTTAGTGAGACAACTGTCGAGGAATACAGTTGTCATGGGGGCCTCCACAAAATGCATCGACATGCCTGACAAGGGAACTGCTCCCCCCCCCCCCCCCCTTTCCCTTCACGGCCAGACAATCCAGTATGCCCAGACAAAAGAAATGTCTGACAGAGGATGAAATCTACTTGATCATGAAAAATCGAACATAAAAAATAGGCAGTAAAAACACTGTATACGAAGACAAAAACCAAGGATATAAATCCAGATTGCCCCCCACGCCGTGACAAAGAACGACGCACATTGATGTTTTTAAGCCTGCAGAAACACATGAAACAACGTGGCCACACGCAACAACATGGTAAAACCACCAAGCCATCTCAACAAAAAAACAATCACGACATCTCCACGTGGTGAATGATGCTGATTGGGGCGAAGCTATGGTGGTGCTGATGATAATGATTTTATTGTTCATAGGTGGTGCTGATGGTGCTGATTTTTTTTATTGCTCATAGGTAGTGCTCAGTTCCGGGTTGCGTTTCGACTTCATTATTACTGCTTTATGGTCGGTGAAATGCAGAGCCAGTGGTTTTTCTAGCGGATCAGCTTGGATCCGCTAGAAGCCGTGGGAACGCCTCTCCACCGCTTAAGTCAACGGTCCATGTCAGAAAGAGAATGTGCGGTATGGAACGTGGTTATATACGCATTTGAGCATTTGACCGCAGCGCCCTCTCGTCTATAAACGTTGAGCCAATGCATGCAAAGTTTAACACGATTATATACGGATTTGACCGCAGCGCCCTCTCCTGTATGGACGTTGAGCGGCTACATGCAACGTTTAATCCATGACAGACAGATGGGATGGCAATCGATGTGAGCACGGATGCCGGACGGATGGACAAGGCTAGACCCTAGGAAGCTTCCCCCTAAAAAAATTATTTAGGCCTGCAGATAAATACTGCAAAAAAAAAGACAGCGCCCGTGCATGAATAAATCGCTTTAGAGCTTTATTTTTTGCCAAATATGTTGTCCCTACAAAAAGTAAAAAAATAGGTTAATCAATTGTCCCGGAGAAGCGTGTTCTCCTTTGACAAGGAAAGAGCGGGAAATGTTTTTTTTTTTTTTTTTTTTTTTAAACTTAAAACGTACACGCCGCTAGAAAGAAGTCCCCTCTACAAGTGAAACGTAATGTCAATGTGTGTTTTATTTCTTTATTTCGCGACAGTTAGCTAAATGGTACGTGGATTTTTAGCACGCTGTTCGGTGTCGTGTTAAAAATTAAAACCGATATGAGGTATTACCTTTATGGAATATTGTGATATTTGTCCAGTGGTCTACTTCCGTCTTGCCACGTATATACGAGTATGTCCCTGCA